TATACAATATAAAAAGCTTACTGATTTGTGTCAACAGTACTTTTGTTTCGTTTCTGGTGCTGAAGGCGCACCTGATTTCGAGAGCTTTCTAATCTGCTGAAATCAAAGCTAACTGCTTTAAAACGTCAAAGAGTCTCAATACAATCCCTGTAATACTTTTAAAGTAAATGCCCAGGAGTTATAAAGAGAATTCTGAAGCATTATGATACATGAAAAAAATAAAACATTACAATAATGTAAAATACAACAGCATATTGAGGTAAAGGTGCAATGGCTTCAAGATTGGATACTAATGATGCAAAATTAATTTATGAAAACTAAGACAGTGTAGTGAAAAACCTTCATCTTTTTCATCTATAGAGTCACAGGTGTGTGCAAAGGCACTTTATCACCCAGAGCTTGTAAAATGAAATTGATAATGGAATTATAACTTCTTTAAAGTCTAAGAAATTTTATCTTGCTCATTTAGAAATTATAATGCAAATCTAACACAGTGATTTTTATTTTGATATTTTATTATTTCTTTTTTACTTTGATTCTTGTTTGTACTCTCTATACGTCTGCTATATTACTTTTCTGTGTTGGCCATTATTTAATGGCTTTTTACCCTGCACGGAGATAAGACTGCACCATAAAAAAGCTAAAAATGGTTGACTGATTTCTCTCTTGACTCTTCCCACTGGTCTGTACATATGCCAGCCTGATTTCTGGAGAGTAGGAAGGACGGAGTACTGTAGGCAGGAGCGATCAGCAGTTGCTGTTCTCCTTAGCAGTTTTATTTTGGAGAGGGAAAGCTCTGCTGTTAAAATGTATATTTAGTCCCATCAAGACCACGTGTTCTTTCAGTGAGGTAGATGGAGCAGGTGGTTCTAATTGTGTGGCACTCATTTGATTGTTGCTTCATCTCTAAATAACAGTTACTGTGCCAAAGTCCAGAGCTTCTCCAAAAAGAGTGCCTCCATGAACTGTGTTACCCTTTTTTCTTCCAGGAGCAATTGGCAACAGCAGGACAGCTCTCTGGAACACAAAGTATAATTCAGGCAAAATATGTCTGAAAGGCTTAGCTAAACCTCTTTTCATTTTTCTCGTACTCTAGGGACCTATTCTCCTTCATTCCAAGGCCTTCGTTATTGTTGGTAATGAAACTAGACTGCATAACACATTTATTTGCTCTGCATGTGATTAGAAAACAAAAATATAAAATTGTTTAAAAAGATTAAAATGAATTGTTAATTTTACTATTTACATGTTGGCTAAACACAAGCCACTTTGCTTGTGTGCTGCTGTATACAGTACATTACAAAATGTATTATAAAATGTATTATATCCATTTATGATGATACTACATGCAATGCAGGATAGAAATGTTTAATATACAGTAGGGACCAAAAGGACTAAGGAGGTTATGCCTGTTTAAGTGTTCTTAAAATAGTACATACATTTAAAATAACAAAATGATCTAATCACACTTCATAGAAATAACAAACCATCTGCATAGATTTGAGGTACTGAAGGCTTTGCTCCAATGATCAATTAATTAGCCAACTGGTAGCACTAGCTGACTAGTGATGTCTGAGCTACTATAAAGGACTCTGCCTGTGTTCTGAGAGAGATGAAAGGCCACAAGGGTTCCTGACTATTACACTCAAACTGGGAACCTAAGGAGTTTCAAGGAAGCACCTGAATATGAAAACAAGACCTGAAATGAGAAAAAAAACAACACAAATCCTGATGGATATAACAATATTTTTGTTTAATTGTTTGGCCCTCAATAGTACAGTATATTTCTTTTTCTTTGATAACAAAAAATAATGATTTCAGTCAAAGCCTAATCTCCATGATTTCCTGGTACAGACTCCTTTAGTCCCAATTTATAAGTAGAAAAGCAGGTACCAAATTATGGTCTTCAAGGACCATAGTCCTGCAGGTTAAGTACAGTAGATCTCTATAATCTCCAGTTTCTCAAGAACAAGGAAAGACTTCCACTTGTTCAGTTAAGCAAATAATGAGTTCAATTAGATAATTAAGGGCCAAGGTGGAAAAATACTAGAAACATTCTTGTCCTTTCCTTGCACCCTTGAACAGAAGGGATTATACAGTATATAACTGAAATTTACCATGTCTTTCTTTGGGTAATCAGGGAATATAATTCATATTAATTACATCCTTAATGCATTGCTTTCTTTTGAAAGCTCATTTCCCACACTAATAAAAAACAACCAATATACAGCAAACAGAGGCTGATATGAGGTTGACATGAAATGCCCTGTGCCAATATAGACAACCTACTGTACGCTGTCCTGGGCCTATACTAACATGGAATGGGGATGATAATGTGCCCTCAATGCTGCAATGGCCTCACTGAATGTATACACAGCAAATGAGAAATGGTGGGTTCTGAGGGCAGGATCCCTGTATCCACGCTAATTAAATATTTCATTGAAATGCCATCCAAATTACATTTGAGGCTGAAGATAAATTGTGAGATATTTAAAGTCAACAGCTCCAGACTGTAACAGTGCTAGTAACTGTAGCAAGTCATGCAAATGTCCTCAAAAAGATGAGTGAGATGACACCATCTGAAAGCTACAGAAAAGTGTTGCCAAATACTTGGAAGAGATCAAAAAAGCATTGGACCCATACTGTCCCAAAACAGGTCCCTGCTCATAATATTACAGCATAGCTTTGCGACCTAAGACATAAAACTTCTGAGATTCATCTGTTGGCCATTAATAATACTACCCTGTACTACAGCATGGTTCAAGCATAGAAATCCAGCAGCAATAGAAACAAAATTATGGAATAAATTAACAAGGCAGTGAATACTGCAACATGCACTGTACTAGTGTTGTTACTTGCCTTCTGGCAAGGATTGGTAACATATTTGAAGTCCACTGGTACTCATTTCATCTGTGATCCCAATTATTGAACTAATGATTTGGATAAGAAGTGAAATCACCTGTTCTCAGGTCTTGATCAGCTGCTAACTGACAATTACATGTAAAGCCCTCAGGACAGGAATGGTTTACCCTTCCTTTATACAAATTTTTAAGAGAAGGGATTGCAGTAGCAATGGTAGTCATATTAACATCGTTTTGAGATTTCAGTTAAACTACAAAAAAAAACAAATGAGGTTGTTCTATACCTCAAATAACTCAGTCCTACTCAATTCTGAAGCTGCACTGAAAAGCTCATCAAGTCAAATCTGAGGAGAATCATATTTTCATATTTTCACAGGTGAAATGACCTATTACTGCAACTGTTTTTTTTTTTCCTCAAAGAAGATGACTTTGCAGCAGTCTCTGTATGTTTTACACACCATTTAAAGAATTTGAGAAATTCCCAATGCAGTCTAGCAGAGTGCTGCTTCTTCAAGTCTACGCATAGAACATAATTAAAGATAAGCTGTGTTATTCCCCTGCGTGACATTGCCTTCTTAGATTCAGCTCTGATGTGCAGTAAGAAAAGCTTTTACAGGTAGAGCTTACTCCACTGTTAAACTGTTTTCAAAGTCTGCATGGTTACATTGTAAAGGCTTTGTGCTCACTCAGCAGGTTGAGGAAAGGGAAAAGACAGCTCTGACAGTAGATGTGACAGGCCTTTCGGCAATATGAGAAAGCAAAAATGTGAGCTCAACTCTCTTAATCTCCCGAGGTATGGCGTTATTTCCATCTCTGCACTTCACTGACACTTGCAAATGGTGAAAACTCGTACAGCTGACATCAATAAAAGAGACCGATACGACAAATTAAAATAAAGAAAAACATTTAATGATGATCTAAACACAAAACTGTATCCACTAATCTCAAAGGACATTTTACTCATTTCACTGATCTCAAAGGAAATTGTCCCTATTTCATCAAGAATTGTATAACTATTACTGGAATTTCTAAATACATGTATCACAGCTTTACAAATCCCTAAGATTGTTTTCATAATTATAGAAGCAGAGTTATAAATGTCATTTTGTTGGAATTATATAAATTATAGAAACAATAACAACAAAGCTGTGTACTGAAATGTATGACAGTTCAGCTTGCATGTCTTGCAACAGAACAGTCTTAAAATTTCTAATTGTGTACTTGTCTCACAATGCTGCTGATAATAAAAACATACATAAATCAGGATATGATAGTCTTTCACTTACATATAAAGAGCATAGGAAGTAAAAATATGCAAAGTTTTAAAGTTTCTGGTGACTACTGCTAGAGAGAAAAACAGTGCAGAAAACTGAAAGGAAATAAAAAAATGCAGATTTTCAGATTTATCCAACTGAATGTTAGGTTAAAACAGTGAGGCCCTCAAAATGCATTATACTATGAGTACCACAAGAATCCTGAGATATTCATCTCTGCTCGTTACTGGGAAGCTGGACAAATGTCACCGTTTTCATTAAAATGCCATAAACTAATATCCAATAGCAGAGAACAAAAACTTGCAAATTGATAAACATTGTAGTTAGGGATATACCTTCCATTGAAGGCCAAGAAGGACTGATGGTTGCTAAGCAACCCTTAAAGCGTCATTAGAAATCCTTAAAGATGTGCCATTTCATTTCTCTGTTATCGTCAGAAGTCACAGAACGGCCATTGTCTGCTGCCAGTTTTTGACGCTAGCAATATTTACAAAAGAGCTCTAAGGGGACTCAAAACTATATTACCTTAAGCAACTGCCATGTATGTACGGTACAAATCAATAATTTAACCAAAAATATTGCTTAAATGTCTCTATCTTAAGCAGATTTTATCAATCCAATGTCTTGATTAAAAGTAGTACTGCATATTACATTTATAACGTTTTATGGCAATATCAAGCTTGATGCATTATTTTGACTACTATTAAGTACAGTAAAGGGAATATAAGACACTTTTAAATTTCCATTTCAGCCTCATCTAAATATTCTTTGTCTTCATCTCAATCCACCGCAGACATGCAGAGAGACCGATGGTTTTTTCAAAGGTCACAACTTGGTATCAATCACTGTTACCAGCTCCACTTACCATTTTATAAAGGTCTGAGACACTGATCTGGTCGGCATCCACCATCTCGAACTCCTTTCGTGGAACAAGATCGAGGCCTAGGTGCCTGTCAGAGACAGAGAAAAATATTTCGATCATTGTGATAAGATTGAAATAACTTGCATGGCTGTGGCCAATCCCAGATGGACACATCGATGTGTGACAATAAAAGTGATTTCTCCCACCTGTTGCTGAAGCTCAACATTCTGAATCACATGTTGCTTTGGTTAGTATTAGGATAAAGCATCTATCATGCTGCCAACATTGTGCTATTTAGATCACCACCTACACAACAGGATTGCCTTTTCAAACACACATCAACACCTGTCTCTTCTCACCCTGCTGGGGTGTAACTTACCTGACCTCCTATGCTGTGTCAATTTTTTGGCCAACAATTTTACAGTTAGTTTCCATACAATAAAAATTAAAGTAATGCAAGCAAATGCGAACAGCTGTGATTAGTATAGAATGTACAGGGACTTGGCACAGAGAACTAAAAGGGCAAATAGAAGTTGGCAGATGTTCAGCTGTTCTTCTTTTGTCAGTGGAAACAGGTGCATGTTGTCTAGTTATAAGGTTCTGTGCCTTGTATGCTAGTGCTGTATGTCACAAAACAGTACACACACATAATCTTTTAACAAACTGGACAGTTCCTTTGAATTAATCTGTTTTCAGCTACTATTTCAACAGTATCCAAAAGAATCACGACTTTGGTTACTACAGACACTGCATTTATTTAGCAGCAATTAAACAACCAGCACATTAACAGAGGGTGGGTCAAGGCAAATTAATTCATGTAATGATGAAAAGTGCTAATGAGAACTAAATTACCAGAAACATGAAAAAACAAATGAATTTAATCAAACAAAATAACACCCACAGGTATGTTTGGACATTTGTGTGTCCTGGTGTGGGTTAATTCACTTGTGTTAAAACCAAACTACAGAATTAGAGATGCCAATTGGATATGCACATTGACACAAACATTCCAAGAAATGCAACGTCAACAAGCAGGTTCAACTTGAAAGAATATCCATGTATCAAGCTGTGCCAGCATCTAATGCGTGGTTTAATATTACTGTCCAGTTTGTACAGTAGGTAAGTCATACATACTGTAGTTTGCAGTGTAACATCAGAAAAAAGGCAGAAAAGGGTAATTTGTGGGCAGCATGTGCAGGATTCTTTTGCAAGGTATTTATGTCCCACAGCCGGCAGAGGAATCCTACTCTGTTGGACCCCTGAGCAAGGCCCTTAACCCCAACTGCTCCAGGGGCGCTGTACAATGGCAGACCCTGCGCTCTGACCCCAGGCTCTCTCCCTGTCTGTGTGTCTGTGTGTCTCATGGAGAGCAAGCTGGGGTATGCGAAAAGATAATTCCTAATGCAAGAAATTGTAAAGGGTTAATAAAGTAATGTTATATTATTATACTCATCTTTAGCTTTTCATATTACCCCAAATTTAAGGGGATTTATATATATTGAGTCAATATATATAACACCAGTTTCACATCAAAGACACAGCATACAGCAGTTCAATGCAATTAATACAGTTTTTATAAATATAATCTTAAGTAGTCAAAAGCATGCAACGAGCTAAAGGATTATCCCAAACTAAAGTCTTACATCCCAGTCTTTTAGGTACAGTAACAACACAAATAAAAACTCTCGTCCAAAGCAGCATGTGTCCAAAACACTCCAAACCACTTGAATTGCATACGTCATCCCTCTCAGCTGCACCTGTGAAAGCTGTGGAAAAGTTAAATTAGCCAAGAGGCGCACTAGCTATATGTAACCAACACACCTTCAGCCAATCATTCCTGCACATCAGCAGTACGGCTAGTTAAAAAAATGGCCCCTTGTGGTCATTCTGGGGAACACTTACTCTGAGTTAAATATGAAGATCGGGTTACTGCTACTGTACATTACATCTCAGAGTTTATTTCTAATAGTGTTAAGAGTGTTCATAATTCCAAATGTTTCTGATTTTATGTGTAGCTTTCCTTTTCCAAAGTGAAGGATCTTACCTACATTTAAAATATACCCTTTATTAAGTTACAGCTTTTTTTGAAAATATTACCATTTGCCTACAGTATACCTAAACCTCTGTGAAGAATACACCAGTAATTCCCTGGATTGTCAAAGAATCCACCTAACTTGTGAGGTGAGGTGATGAAGGGAGCAGTGAATCTATGCTTCTGGGACATTACACACTGACCGGAAAGCAACTCACTACTCCCATAACTGCTCCTTGAGTTATAACCTTTTTAAGTTAACATTTCTGGGTTTTCTTCTGGGCTTACAATTGCCGAAGGCATTCATTCATTATCACATTCTGAGATTCATTCAGCTAAGTATCTGCATGCCTCTGCTTCTCATGCTAAATGGGTACAATGGGAAATATTTAGCTTTTGGATCATTATAAAGTTTGTTGCAGACGACACTCAAGCTATTTTTAGTTTTAGGTAAAACAGCAGAGGATATGAACAAAAATCTCGTTATGCACAGGCATTTATGGTACTTAAAAACAGTTTCAGTGTTAATTTGAAAATTTCAGAGTGATTTAAAAATGGTGTTACCAGCTCTGTGTAATATAAATGGTACTCTTAAAACACAGGAGACAAATTACTTTTAAATGCTTCCTTTATTTCAAGGGGCCATTGGGTGTCCCTTAGAATCGATTAGAAACTTTAAGCTATAAGGAAATGGATGTGTCAGCAATCAGTCTGCATTGATTTAACCATTCCAAGACAAAGAACAATTACTGTTCTCCCTCTAGACTAAAACGCAGGGATTTTAACTGTTATTCAAAATGAGGGAGTACAACCGAAACAGAACTAACGAATCTTTAAGATATTGTTCTCTTCATCCAGCTTCTAATTGAATACATTTTAGATTCTGGGTTGGTATTCAATATTTGGATGAAATGCATCATATGTGATATGGCCACTGTTGGAATCTTTGTACAAAAACAAGTATTTATTAAGACAGGCCTGCAATATTGTAACATTTTTTATATGTTAAGTGTTAAGTTAAACACTGTTACAGTACTATTGCTGTTGTTACTATTATTGATTATGGTAACAAGGTGTGACTACTAAGACAGCATCACTCTGAAAAGACTCTATCTGAGGAATAGCAGAGTCCAGAATTTAAATATTTATGAACATTGTTTGTTTTGTATGTTGAACTGACAGAACTGGGTTTTTCTCAGTGTGACACAGACTCCTACTGCTCTGGGAGTCTAAGATGGCCTCTTTAGTTGAATACATCGGTAGCTTTTTCCAAATTCATAGCTGAAATACTCATTTTTGCTGTCTCTTCCTTTTCTGATATTTGGGAGGAGGCCGAAGGTTATCCATCCAGATGCAACACATATTCAAAAAGTTTTTTAATATATATATTTAGTTCTCAGTTACATCTCTACACATCTGTTTGGCACAATGGACATTCGTACATTTTTTAAGGACCAAATACTGAGAAGATGAGGTCAGCGCAATGCTGGAAGGGTAACAGCACACTGTAAGGCTTCACATTTAATACATTTTAACCATACCCACAGTGAGCAATGCCAACCCAGACTAAATAAACATGTTCTGCTGGGTTTCTTCCTAGGAGTGCTCACATTAATTAGCATCTTTTCAAACACAGTACAATCTGACATCCAAGGCGTTGCTTTAATTGATTGGAAGATTTATTAGAATTTATTTATTCTCCTACTGAGTGTCTAGAAATGTATTTTTAATTTTTTTAAACTAGTTACCTCCATGCTACTGTTACTGTACCTCACCTAGCAATTAACTTTGTTGTCACTTCTTTTGTAAGAAGCTTTAGTGAACTAAATTGTCACACAATGAAAATATAACAATTCAAATTAATGTAGTAATAAAAAGCTCACTGGTAAATGTTTTTTGCCTTGTGTGGAAGATTCTCTGTAGTGATAAAGTGGTGCACCCACATGGGTGATGCATAGTAGCCATTATGAACCAGCAGGCACACAATACAGCACCGTAGATTACATTAGACAGATTAGGCAGTGCAATGAAATGAAATCCTAAGAGAACCAGCAGCTGACAGATGTTTCTATTGCCTTAATTCTTCATAATCCTGCTTGATGGTGTTCAACTGGAAATAATTTACACAGAACTCAACTCCTCCAAGATATATCTTGATCTAAGAAGTACAAAGATTTCATGAATTATGAATTTACCATATCCTTAGAGATACCACTCCCTAATAAACAGACACAAAGAGACCTGCACATAAAAAGTAACTAATCAGCATTGCTCAGCTGGCTGTTGTAAAGTGAAACACCACTATGACTATAATTTTAAATACACAACAGATTAAGCATTTTTAATGTACACACTATAGGTTTTTTGTCTTTGACATCCCATGAGACTTCAAACACTTTAAGTAATATCTTCCATCTAATAAATCATGGAACTCCCAGAATTCCAAAAGGACACATCAGTCTGATGATAGAAATTCTGGCAGCTCTCAAAGCAGTCAAGAAAACCTTATTGCTACTAATTTGAAGACATATTCGCTGTATAGTGGTTTGTTCATTGGGAGTCAGGAAAACACAAAACAGACTTGACTAATTACCTAGGGAGAAGATTAAATAGGGAAATTGAGCAGCAATTATGCTCCTGACCTGAGGAAAGCTGGGTGTCTATACCTCCTACAAATTTTGATAAAGTGAAGTCTGTGCTGACAGTTAATCCAATACCTAATAACTCTTACTAATAACTGGAGCTGCTGTGCAATGTCTTTTATTTCCCCAGACACAAGCATCCTATTTTGTTGTCTCATCTTCTTTATTTATAAGGAGATCTATACGATTAAAGCATCAGCAGTGAATACATAGTATGAGCAGGAATTACAAGGCAGTGCTACCTCCACAGAAATGATCAGATCAACTCACAGAATGGACTGCGTCAAGTTCAGCAATGGGCAAACAGATAAGAAGCCTGCACTGCTTCTGTAGTTAGACTTTTTATGTATATTGATATGAAATCAAAACACTGACTGAAACAGTTTATAATTGTCAAAATATGCAGATATCTGAATGTCTAATTTTAGTACTGCACTGGTTCCTGGAAGAAACGGAAACCAAGCTGTTTCTAGGTAGCTGTGAAATGAAATTTTATTTTAAGAAAGTGATAAAATGTTGTTTTAAGGCAAACAAAACAGATGATCCTCATCCAATGCCAATATTTTTCTTTTCTTAACTGCTACAAATATGGAGTTTTTTAAGAGTCATAAGCAGGCTTGCAATTACAGAAATCATGCTAATGAGAGAATAAGATAAACCTGAGATTATTATGAGTTTCTAAAATATCTGTGAAAAACTGTTGACATTAGAACAATTACAAGATAGTCTTTAAAAGATTTAAAAAATCTCGGGGGCAATAACAGAAAAAGCACATTAAGCTTTTTAAGAGTCTCATCTTCACTGCAGCCCTCTGCGACTCTCCTGATGACTCATCCTCTGAATAAAGCGGTGACAGCTAAAACAGTGAAAACAGGAAGTCATATGCTGTGTGTGTCAGTGCAGTTTGCCAAAATTGCCTCACTGATGCATTCTAATCTCTGAGCTATGGGTCTAGATGCCTTAGCTTTACCTAATGAATTTGTACTGCCCAATCCAGAAGCAACAGAACAGCACCGTACAGGACAACTCTAACAGTACTAAAGATACTAAAGGCAAGTATATAATTGCAAGCCATTCAAGAGTGAAAAAACAAAAAAGCGTGAAAAGGTTACTTCTACAATTAGAGAGAGAGAGGAAGATTATAGATCTGGAGTAGTAGATTATATCTTTGAGCATCAAAGTCTGTTATTTTTGCTTATATAGATAAATGTCTGTCTATGGTTCTGTAGTAAAATGAATCTTGTTAAAATAACGTTGATCAGTGTTGTAGGAACCAAAAACAGATAATTTTGAAACTGTGAGAAGAGCATCTAGTAGAACAAATACTGTAGGTAAGAGAAAATTAAAATTGTGTGTTCAAATAATATTACCCTGAGTAATGTAATGTAAAACTGAAACAAATATATACTTGCAGTATGGCTCCTGCTAAGAAAAGCAAAATCTGGGGCTTCCACTAATCTGCATGTTCATAATTTGAGAATACTGATAACAGACATGTTGATTGCCTGTGATTTAAATAGCCTTCACCCTTCATGTAAGGCTATTCTTCTTTAACAAGCGACATCAGCTGACATAGCTGACATTACTGACAGAGTGTGCAGGCCTCTCTATCCTGCCATTTTCCCACCGGTGAGCAACAACAAAGTGGCGTACAGACACTCACTCATTGCCCCAGTCCAGCCGCACAGTGATATGCCTCTTCACGTCTCGAATCTGATCCTGGGTCAGGTGACCCGAGAGCAGCTGCCTGCGGAGGTCAATCAGCTCATTCATCACGTGGCGCAGCTTGTAGAAAAGGTCCACCTTGTGCTTCTGTATTGAAAGGAAAGAAACAAAACAATATTGTGTAGCTCAGCAGCAAACCCCTTACTGTATGTGCTATATAGCCTTTTCATAGTGCATAGTAATTATCATCCATTTCTGACTTTCTGAATTTGTATTCTGTCCTTTATGGAAGATGCAGTTTAGGTAAATAAATCAGTTCAATACAGCCATAGATAATGAAGTCCTGTTTCACATTTACTATTTATGTAACTACTATAACTTTGCAATAACAAGGTAAATAATATACAATAAGATTGTTTATGTCACTACTGCTAAAATGATGGAATATTAGTTATGTATTTGGTATCCACTTATTTCTATCCTAAAAATTATGTACATTGTAGTAATAGAAAGTAATGAAAAAGCCCAAAGCAATGGGGCTTCCCTGTCATGCATTAACTCTATTAACTCTGTCAATCAAGTGTCTGAATGCCACTCCATTTCATGAGGGAAAAAGAAGTGAAACAAAGCATGGAATTTTAAAAGCCTTCCACATCACCACCTACAAATTATGTACAAATAAGATAGTTTGTGTCTTAAAATTCAATCTATTCTGTCCAAAAACATGTAATATACCGTATTTAAGACAAGAGTATTCTTAACTGATTAAGAACTTAATGTTTAAATAGATTACAAACTTACATTACTACTTTCATTTATCAGTGAACAAACCAAATATATAATATGCAGGCCAACATATACTTAATGTGCAAAAACCAAGGCAAACAACAACAGCAAACAAGATATTATAGAATGTGAAGAGTTTTTTTTATCTGTCAAGTCATAAAAAGGTACAGTAACATACTGTACAAGGAGAGGTTATTTGCCTCTTTTCTGCTAAGTTTAAGCCACACAACATTTACATTCATTTCAACTTAGTTTATTCTGTCCATTTTGTGTGTCAGTGAAAATAAAAACATATCTCTGCATACAAAGAAATAAAACAAAATCTAATTTTATGCAGACAGCTGCAAAATATTTGATTTGTCAATGATAAAATAGCTGTGTAGGGCAATTCTGTGTTCAGTGAAGATGTCCAGGCTATTGTAAGAGTACTGTCTAAAGTGGTAAATCCAGTTTCCAAAAGATGTTGAAACAATGCCATTGAAGCACAGAAGTAAAGAAGTGTCCAGAATCAAGCTTTATAAACTTTGAGAAACTGTTGGTAAACACATCTAAATGCATCTGATGTGGAATTAAACTATGTTATCCCTTACCCAAAGCCTGGACGTCTGTATAGCTGTTATAGAACTGATGTAGTACTTGGGTGACTGAAATGACCCTTGGTCTCCAAGATCATAAAAGGCAGATAATGTCTCTCTCTAGTCTGAAACCATAGTTTCATGGTTAAAGAAAATGATCAAATAGCAAACTGTATATCAAGACAGTCACCTTCTTTCATTGATTGAAGTAATGGTAGTTTTCAAATTTCATCTTAAAAATCTCCTTTTAAATTTTTCAATTGATGTTGGTGTTCGTAATGAGTGATGCAGTCTACTGCTGTCTATATGAACAAATACCCCCACTTCAGGATAGCAATATACTGTATAGTAGCGTCACCTTTTTATCAGTATTACCTGGAATCATATTTCAAAGTAGTCTGCCAAAATGGAAAGATGGAATAACAGCATCATTGCCTATTAATGATGTTTAACATTTTTATAATGTTCTTTTGAATAGCGTGCAAACGAAGATGATAATTTGTCTATATGAACATAAAGCACATTTATTAATGACTGATAGCTAAAACAAATACAACAGCATTTTACTGATATACTTTGTGACTGTTATAGTAGGTCTGTATGAAGTACTGTACAAGAAAAGATTATACTGTATACAGTATATGTTTTCTACTGTATTATACATAACATTCAGGAGGAGAATGAAACCAAGATAGAATATTTAGAAAAAAAAACTAATTTTAATGAACAATATTGTCAATACCCCAGATTAATTAGGAAATAGAAACCAAACAGGTTTATATATTTTCTCATATTCTATTGTTCTAACTCCTTTTTGGTTGTGGAGCATTCTTCCTTTGTTTCAGGCATCAGTTTGCATTGCCAAAGCATATGAAAATGCATTATAACAAATGTGCATTTCAGGCTATTGCGTTTATTTAATTTAATAAAAGCGACTTTTCTTTGTGCTTTGCTAAGAAGTCACCCCTTTCCCTGAAAAGAGCTTTAGTGAGTTTAAAAAAGACCATCCCAATAAATCAGAGGTAAAACATCTTTGATGGGATTCAGAATTCAATTTGGGCATGTTTTTAGGCTGATTTCTAGACGTTTGACTGCATATTTGTCACATTATACATCTAACAATATCTGGAGACTTGCAGAAATGGTGAAGGAAATGTTAGACGTTAATAGTTTGAGGCCCTGCAGACCTTCTGAAACAGAATTAACAAGCCCATTAAAAATGTTATGATGGATCCAAAGTAGTGTGTGTAGTATTATGCATCATTTAAAAAACCTCCACACAAGGATGATCAGGGCTTTTATCAAGATAACTCCCTAAAGGACCTGATATTCGTGTAGCTTAATTTCAATAATTTACAAAAAAAAATCTTCCTTTCTGTATTTTAATTATGGGGGGTAATTATAAAATTTAAGATTCATAGAATCATAGATCTGTGCAGGCTCAATCTGACCATAGGGAAAATGTATTTGTTCTGAATATAAAACTGCAGGGAATAAATCATGTTAATATTGGGTATGGTGACCTACATGATGAAATTTCGCAGCGGCTTTGGTTAATTTTCATTAAAAAATATTTAGCTTTCTGCTGGATGCTCACATTATCAGAAATTTTAATAAAAGTCTGACTAATTGTCCCTGAATAAAACTCAGTTTGTAATTGACACAATCATTTAACACATACTGTAACAAGCCTCATTCAATAAAGCTTCACAGTGTATGTGAACAGACACATCTTATCCATGTATATTAAAGACCATATTCATCAACCACAATAAGGTGCATCTTAAGGAATAAAAATAAAAGAAAATAAGACAATGGGTTCTTTATTATTTTCCTGAATATGTAAAATGTGAAAAGATAAGATAAGATAATATGCATACAGTATGTTGTTTGCTGAACCACTCAAACCTTATGCCATTACATAAAACATGAACTACTGTATGGTGTTATGAAAAATGGTATGAGCTGAGATACTTCTTATGAAAGCTGCCTTTCAGCACAAGTGTTTTCTTCTCATCATGGAGGCATTCCTAGATAACAAAATAAAATCCGAAGGACACCAATACCAAAACATTTTAGCACAAGGCAAAATTTATTTGCTTTGTCAGAGGAAGAAAGATAAAGATTAAGCACAAAAACGGCATTGGCTCTACTTCATCTTTCCTGTTCAGGCTTCTGGTCATGTTTTCAGCCTGTGAAAGCTTACAATATTTAGAATTTCCAAATTACAGCAAAAATAGATTTTTTATTAGATGTTAATAATAGACATTATGTTATTTACTGCCATAAAGGGATTTATTTTTAATATGTCCCATGTTTTATGACTAATCAATTTCATGGCACATTACATTTTCATATTTTTAGAAAACTCAAAATCAGAATCTTACTAATAAAATCGTGTTTTGTAGTATTTTGTCTACTTCAAAAAACAATATAGCCAGTCTTCAACCTGCGTGGTGTCTATTTCACAACTTATTTTCAATTGCACATTATTATAAATTACTCTTATGTTAAGAGATGTGCTGATTATTGACATGCTCCCTAAGATAAGGCACATACTCCTATGCCAATATTTTCATAGCAGACATAGCAGGGCAGTTACTGATTTTTGCAATTTATCCATCTTATTTCTATTTACAAGTGTATATACTAGAGAGAAACATTTGGTATTCACAGACGGGGGACTAACATGCAATTTTTCACACACAGTTACAGGTGACTATGGGGTAAAAAGGGTATTTAGATTGATACTAAGACAATTAGTTCTTGATCATGAAAAGGACCAATAGAGGTAACCATTCAATTCAATTCAATTCAATTCAACTTTATTGTCATTAAACTTACACAGGTGCATAGTATAATGAAAAGTGTTTCTCATTAGTCACTCAGGTGCAGTATATAAATAGGACAGAAGATAAGACAGTAGACAGTAACACAATAGCAATAACAGTAACATGTAATAACATAACATAAATAACATGTAATCAAGTAATCAAAACTGTGCAAAATTCCGCAAACAGAGAAAATATAACAGTACAAAAACAGTGCAAGGTAATTCTTGGAACAGTGCAAAAATAGTATGATTAATAGTATGGTGGTACCATACAGTACTACCTACAATTATATACTCTGACCCGCCTTACTGCTTAACTCTCCACAGCTGTCATCTTTCATTGTGTTATAGTGCTTATTCTGACTAATGGCCTACGTAACTGGTACGTTTGAAGGACTCAGAAAATAATAGTCAAATATTGTAAGTTGAATTGTTTCTTTTGTAAAAGATATTTCCATTGTTTTGAATTTCATTTTAAGCCACATTACACTTCACCTAGCAATTTATACAATAGTTCACCTGCCTCCAGACAAAAATGAATAAGAATTACAAGCATGTGCAATGTAACAGTACCATTGTGTTAATGATACTTGAAAACAAGCATATACTGCACAGTGCTGTTCAAGTATGCATGTGTTCCAGAAATGGACAAGGAATCATGTCCAATGCCCTGAAATCTATTTCAGTCTGTTGGGTATCCATCATGGATTTTCCTCTCTGCTCACCGCACAAAAACTCAAATACATCCTGAGAACAGTCTGCTGATTCATTTTCACTATTGTCACTGAAGAAATAAACTGTGGGTGTCAGAAAGAACACGGTGTGAGTCATAAACAAAGGAATTAAGGTTCTAGGATTTCTGATAATAAAACACTGCAGATGCTGAAAGCATAAACGTTTGTAACTGAAAGGTACGGTATACAACAATTGAAGATTAAGATTGTATCAGGGTG